TCGAGATGATGATGGAGTAATCTGGTTTATTGTGTTCATGTGAAAATTGTGTTGTAATCCTGCCGTATTGTGTAGGCCTTTTGTAGTGTTGGCTAGACTAACCAATATGAAGTTGAATTGTACACCGTACTTGTGGAAGAATGGAAATAATGGGATGAAATTTAACTTGCAACTTGTTTGGCTTTGAAATTGTTTTGGCAACCACATGAAGACAGTAGAATGGGAACAATTTAATAAATGTTAAAAACAGCAGAAACATGTAACCAAAAGGCCTTGTTATATTCATTTACTCACAAGTGGATAAAAGCAAACATGGCAGTAAAAGGGATACAACAGTCAAGCTTGACCAATTAACCATCAATAGAAAAAAAAAACTAATCACTTAGACAAAATGCTAATTAGCTAGACAAAAAGCTAATTATTTAGTCAAAAGCTGTCTATTCATAATTACAAAAGATGTTTCCTAGTCAAAAGAGATCCAACCATGGTTCAATAAAGTATTGCTGAGTATGGCAAAAAGAGACCGATTTAGTGGCCTTGTCTAGACTTTTAAGCTACACCCTGTTCTCTTCTACCTGCAGTTCCCCTTTCTCTACCTGATCTTCCTCTGCCTCTCCCACTCCATTTTTCCTTCCAATTCCCGACAGTGAAAGGAGATTGCTTGCCCAAATATGTATAGTTCAAATTGATAAACCCTTTATTAGCATCTGTCAAAGGATGTTTTGAAGTACTTTTCCAGTTCTACCTCTTAGGCGCTGGTTGCTGTGTTGGGGGAGTGCTAGTAGAGGCCTGTTTTTCTTGAAGATTAACATGCAGGAATGAAGACCGGTGGTCCTACTGCTGTGACACTTGCTGTTGGCGGTGCTCATTCTTATGCTCATGCTGGTGTATAGATTCAAATAGAGACTATTGATGCTCATTATGATCCTGGACTCGAGGAGATTGCTGCTGCACATTTCTCCTTTGCTTACTTTGCTGGTCCTTTCTAACCTGTCAAAGGCAGCGAACTTAAAAAAGTAAGATTTTAAACTTCATTTGCAAGTGTAGCACAATTTCTAAACACTTACATGCTATTTTTTAGATGGCCTTGTAGAGGACCCTTGAATTTCAGGAGGTAATGTACCCTGTGAAGTATATACACCATCATTAGTACCCTATTCTGCTTGATTAGATTGGTTGGATCCTTCTTTGCATGTAGCTGCATTGTGACCTGCCTTTCCACACTTTCTACAATATATAACAATTCCTCTTCCCAGTTTTTTCCATGATTTTTCCCTTCTGTGATGTCTAATTTTTGAGCCTTTCTTCCTGTCCTAGATTGAGCAACTATGACTAGTGGGTCCAATAGAGGCATGGTGGATGGGAGCGGCCATAGAATTTCACCACTAATTGACTCGAGGATATTACAATATATCATCAGGAATAGATCTTTACTGTAGCAACCTTCAAGTTCATTGTAAGGGTTTCCATTATTCCTATAAATTGCAGCTATTGCATGACAGCAAGGAATTCCACTCATAGCCCACAAGTTATATGTGCACTGCCTTTTCTTTAGGTCTACAGCATATTGGTGACCTCTTGGACCTTTCACTTGATAACCAACATCAGAATTCTATATAGGATTCTATTGAGTTGAATGCTTCACTCTTTCATCAACAATTTCACTAGGCAGTGGTCCAATAGGGCCTCTACAATTCTTTATGACTGACTTTCTTTGTTGAATCTTGTCCATAATATATTCTCTAATGGCCTCCAATAGAGAAATTATAGGCTAGTCCCTGGCTTCAAGATTAAGAGCATTAAAAGACACACAAAGGTTATTGACCAGCTGTAAGCACAAATTTCGTTGGCTAAAATAAAAGATAAGAAAACTTGTACAAAAGATCAAATATATTAAATCAAATAATAAGAATGTTATAATATCTGAAAATTCTTGAATCAAAGAAATTAATCCCCTGATTTTTCTCTTCAAATGACTTCAATTGAAGGGCCAAAAAGGTTTGTTCTCCGATCAAGAGGGTGTTTCCTATGATTTAGGCGTAGAAAACAGATGATTTGATGATGGCATTGAATACTCGAATATTTAAGTTTTCAACACGAATGGAAGGAGGATTTGTTTAACTTGAATTGGATTTGGACATGAGGGAAAAAACTCTTGAGAATTTGATAGAGGTTTTACGAAATTTAGGGATTTTAATTTGTCTTTTGCCTTGAGGGAAGACATCTATTTATAGCTAAAATTTGTAGGCTAAGTCTTCAAGAAAATCCTCAGAACCTTCCTGTATTTTAGGTGACTTGTAACTCAAGAACCCATTTAATTTAGGCTTAAATAGCAGGCCGGTCCAAATAGTCCATTGTAAATTAATAAATCAATTAATTCACTTCAATTTAAATGGACATAACAAATTTGATTTAATTTAATAGCCCATATAACATTGGTCCAACTTGTTAGTCCAAAACATAATGGACTTCTATAATGTAATTTAATTTAAATAAATCTTGACTAGATAAATTAAATAAATTTTCTTTGTCTACAAATACCCCCACTTCAAGACTTGGTGAGGCATTGCTTGACAATTGCCAAAGACGAGTCTTGAAGTATTACTCTTAATTTGCAAGACTTTTATCCAATGAAATGCATGAAAATCACGATTTTGTAGAATACTTGATCCATAAGAGAGCCCAAACTTTGCATTGCAGACTTATAATGTTGCTGAGTCGAATTGATTCATGCATAGGATCATGGTGCTTGTGGCTTCAATTCTTCAGTGGTTTCAATTCTTTAAAGAGTCTCAAGACCACTTTTCTTTTTGTTTGCAATTGATTCCAAAAGAATTAGAAACTTTCAACCATTTCCATGATGCGTCAATTCGGCAGGTACCCAAATCGAGCACTTGCAATGAATTGATAATTGCCAAAACCAACCACTAGACGGTGTAGAATGTAGGCAATTTCCTTAGACATTGAACTAGTTTTGTTAGCGAATAAGACATTGATGACCAACCCTCAATAATCTAATGGAAGGTTTGAAGCATAACTAAGAACGAAAGGTTATATGCTCACTTTCCTTCTGACCTTTAATTACTTCTAAGACCACGTGGCAATCAAAATTAGCTCACTGCCTACAATGAACATTCAATCGGGCACCATTGTAGCAAATTGGCATATGCTAAAACCAACTTGTGAACAACTGGAAACTATCAACTTAACAGCTTTTGAAACCAATTTCGTTATACCCAATTCCTGCAATTTCTGAAAGAACATTGATTCCTTTTTTTTCTTTCTATTGCACGGTTTGAGCTCTATAAAAGAAGCCAATAAGATCCTTTACAGCTCCAAGTACAACTGAACAAATCGCAGCATCATGGGGAAAGAACAAACCAGAACAATTCTATATACCACCAAGGTAATCGTCGAGCCTTCTTTTAGTTTTGATTTCAATCTTTTCCAGATTAACACTTGCACAATGCTTGCCAGATTTGCTGTGTTTTTCACCACATACTACAAAGGAATCTAAAGTTTTCTTTTTAGCTCCAAAGACATATTGCATGTCAAAATCTTTTGTTGACTTCTTTTGTTCTCATTGTCGCTGCAAATTCGATTCCCGTGCACTTTGTTACTGCTGAAAAATTGCATGCATTCTTCAAGTATTTCAATTACTTGCCAAATAGCTCCAATGAAACTTAGTTGGTATAGATTAATTATTGAACCTAGCGCCAAGACCACTTTAAGCTTCGATTGTTATTTTGCATGTGACGCCTGTTCATTGCATTTCATTGCTTCATACCATAACCCTCTCGATTCATGCAAAGTTCATAGTGTTTCTTTATTTAAATTGTAATTGAAGTTATTTGCATGCAATTTCATACTGATTGTAATGACTCCACCTCCCTCCAGGGCGTACCCAAGGATTTGGCGGACTGCCTGTCCAACTCTCGCCAGGACTCACTCATGTAATCGAAATTTAGCAAATACAAACCTCAACAATGAGAGCAATAACAATTACAACCTTAGATATATATACAATTATGGGCATTAAATGACCAAACAATCTCTAAATACAGTCAAGGAATTAAACTTACAAAATAAAACCAAACAAGCCCGCTAGAGAGATAAGGAGTGCCTACGCGAGCAATTAACAAAACTTAAATAAAGTCTACGTCTTCTTCAATTCCCACTCTCACGTTCTTAACCCTGTAAGGAAAACAAATTTCATGGAATGAGCTAGAAATCCAGTGAGGTTTCAAGTAAACAGGCAGGTAAATTAGCAAGCAAGATACCATGCATAGGATATCAAGAAACAAGTCAAACTCAAATGGATCATGACCTAGTGTGTAGTTAAGCAGGTAACCAAATAGATCATGCAATAGTGTACGGTAAAGAACACGTTCATGTCAAAGAATATAGTCTACTCTCAGGAGCAGGTTCCACAGTAGCTTATTCGGGGTTCGTTGACTCTCCATCAACCATGGAATTATAATGTCCGTAGATCCCCACTAAACGTCAATCTCCATCCACCGATCATCCCCCTACCGGACCCGAAAGCCAAACAAGTACTCAAGGTTTGTCAATCTCCTCGACCAAACCCTTGTCGGCTCAATTCGACCAACTAGTCATGGGTTGGGCTTATAACCCTAAGTATTCAAATATTTATGATCTGGGCCCCAAGTATTCAAGTATTCACGAGTAGAGTCGTTGGCTGTGACCCAACACTCACGCAGGTAATGATTGGAGACGTTAGCTGTGACGCCCCCACTTCTCCCTAAGGCGAACCAAAGGGTATCCGCGGGACGCCTGCCCAGCTCTCGCCGGGACTCACTACAATCGATCATTCAAAAGCTCGAAATACTTTAAGTAACCTCAATACATAATTAAAGTACTTCGAATATCTCACACTTACAATTATGCAGCTTTCAAGCTTAAATACAACCCAATGGAAAAGGGGTACGATAGCCATCCGTTATAATATAACTTAAAGTCTTCAAAAGAAAACAATCTAGTACTACTCACGAGCACCCTTGGTCTCGAACCCTGTAAAAGAAATCCACAACGTGGTATGAGCTACACAGCCCAGTGAGGTTCCAAGACACTCTAACAGTTCAAATAAATCAAATAAGTTGGGCATATCATATGCATGGTTCAAGGTTACACAATGGCATGTTATCATGAGGTGATAATCATTGTACAGGTAATTTGAGACATTTATCATGGTATGGCACGTTTTCAAAACGGTTATCATTATGTAAAATAAACACACATTGAAGGATACGGTGTTCCAGTGGAACTCTGTCGGTCATCTGCACCTTATGACTTCCGGATCCCCTCGGTTTGACTGGCCATCACCTTATCCCTCCAGTGGTAATACTCGAGTATACCGAAACGGTTGTCCAGGGTTCCAACCTACCCGACCGAGCCCAGTCCTGGCTCGAGTAGGTCAGTAACCGAGGCAGGGCCCAAGTTCAGCTTAGAGCTTACAACATGCACAAGTAATCAAGTAATTCGGCAAAAGGTAAAATTCATCATTTGAGTAGGTCGAGTGAGGTAAAGTACACACTCGCCTAACAATGATGGACAACTTCATATAACATGCGATTCATGATAATCAAGTGATCAAGTAAGTTGGTGATCACGTAAGCAGATAATCAAGTAAGCAAGTAGCCGAATGGATTAGAAAACGGTAAGTAAACACGGTAAACGGTAAACGGTGGTAATTACGGTTAATTGGCAGACATATGTCATTTTAATAGGCCACCATTGGCCGATTTTCACTTTTTCCACATAAGAGTCGAGGAGATTCACTCCAACCGACTTATGCTGTCATAGCATAATTAATCATTTAAACACATCATGTAGATATGCTCTCCAAACATTTCATATCTAGTATTTCAAGTAATCACATAAATATGCTCTTTAAGCATTTCATATCGAATAGTTCAAATATACATATTTCAGGTATTTCATATCGAGTAATTCAAGTATACCTTATTCAGATATGCATGAGTGTGGTAAATACTTAACATATAGCACTTAACACTTAATAATCATGGGTTATGCATGTCATAGACTTATTCCAATTACGTATTCCTATATGGAACACTCACCTATAGCAACAAGAGAGTAATACTCAAACAAGTGTCTAGGCGTCCACTTCGAGTTCTTCTTGAAGGTCCCCTTGAGCGCCTGAGCAAATAACCATTAACTATTATACACTATCACTTAGAACTCCTACTTATCAAAGAAGGTTGTACAATCTAAAGGGAATTCATGAATTGGGCCTTAATTATTAATAATCGAGGCTCAAGAGTAAAGTTTAAAGTCTAAAGAAAGAGACTAACATTTTTCATGAAATCGAGTTCAAAATGTTCAATCGGTATCGAGAAAAGAAGGCAAGTTTCCAAAATCTCATTTCTAAGAAATTGTCAAATTTTAGCTTTGGGTGTCAATTCTAGAAAAATCGTATCTTGCACTACGTAGGTCCAAAATTGGAAAGTTTGATACCATTGGAAACTACATTCCGAGTACTACAAGTTTCTAGAAGACACTTTTCCATGATTCGAAATGGAAGGTATTCAAAAGTTGGATCAAAGTTACTGCTGTAGAATACTAAGACAGTTTCAAGGTTGGTTTTTGGCCAATTTTGGAAATTCAGTAAAATTCACTTGTTTTGAACTAACCTTTGAAATTTGGAAATCAAATAGTGTTGCAATCCAAGAGTATAACAAAACAAGCGGATTGAGAAACGGAGTTTCGAGCACCAAGATATAGTAGCCCCAAGTTGAGGAAGATTCAAGACTGAAGAAGAATTTCCAGTTTTGAACCTCCAACACTAGAAATTTAATTGGGTATCGAAACGAACTTGGATTGGTACCAAAATTGGCAGTATTTTACTCCCATATGAAAGGTACCACTCTATCAAATTTCAGGGAAAAATACTTTCGGTAAGATAGTTAATTAGTCAACCAAAGTTCAGGAAAATTATAAGGCAATCTGCCTTGAGACTTTCATTACCCAATTCAAAACGTCTAATCAAGCAAACTATACAATCATGGTTCATTTGTGAAATAAAGGCCTAAGAAACATCCATAATGCCTTTGGTAAGTGTTTAGTATCAAGAACATCAATTAACAAGTTCACTCCAATATCTTGTTCCAAACCAGTCCAACATTAGGGTTTTTCCAAAACAGAGCAGTCCACTTGTTTCAGTCACAACTCAGTCAATTTAACTCGAAATCAGCCATTGGAAAATACGTTCATAGGGGTAAAATATCACAGAAGAAATCATTTCCAAATTCGGCACCAATCTGGTTCAAAATCGGGCATCAAGTTGCTGCCTGAACACTTCATTCCAGATGAACAGAGCAACAGGACAGCGAACTTAAAACATTTGGTTCGGCTTGCTCACAAAGAATCAGAACGTGCATTATATACCAAATTAAAGCCAGGAATGTCTAGTTTCCAACGCCACCAACGGCACATGATTTCGACATCCGAGGACAGAGTTATAGCCAAAATACTACCACTGGTCAGAATCATACGCGAACAGTTTTCCAGATTGCTAGTTTCTCAAGAAAAATTCATTTGCTCAATCAAACCTCAATATTTTCCAATGAAATTTTTCACACATCTAATACATCCTATAAACATCTAATTCAAGCCATTAAACCATTAAAAATTGGCCTGGAAATGGCCGAACATGGCAGGGGCAAAATCGGAAGTTTTTGCTTCTTACACCCAATGAAGTTTCTACTAATTACCCACCACTAATGCATCATTATAACCACTAAACCAACAATATAATCACCATCAATCATCACATCAGCAACAATAACCCAAGTGTGGGAATTCCAAGAGCCCACTATCACATTTTTACACCATACACAAGCTAACCAAATGCATGCATGAACTTAACAAGGTAAGATAGCTTCCAAACTTCAAGTTTTCAAGAGTGGATCATCACTTACTTTGGGTTGATGTTCAGCAGAATTTTCGGCCCTCTATTACCCCAGAAAAACCGTGATTTCCAGCCCTTGTTTGCAGCTCAAAATGATCCTCAAGTGTCAAGCTAGGTGTGGTGCAAGTTTGGTTAATTTTGGAGATGATTTGGAGTGGTTTTGAGTGAGATTAGTGAGCAGAAATTTTGTTGCAAATGAGTTAGAGAGAGGAGGGAGCTGGCCGGCTGTTTGAAGCTCAAGAGAGAGAGAGAGATCAGATTTTAGCTTCCAAGAGAAGACATTAACTTGTGGCCTCAAGTCACCCATTAGTCAACTCACATTAGGGTGCGTTTGGCGCGATTAGGGCTCGATTTTCTCGCGCGTTTGGTTCACTAGTGCACTAAACCTCCAATGTATTTATATTCATGTAGATAATATTCACTCTTAATTGTCCCGAAATAAAGGTCTAAAGTCCCTCAAATAAAGTCGCGCGTGTGAAAACGCGTACCGTCAATTTTTTACGCTATAACGCGAAACCTCCGGGAAATTCTTATAACGATAGTACTAATAACTATCACTTGAGTATTTAAACATTAAAATACCGAATTTAGGTCCATTGTACATGTCTCCAATATTCCAAACTTATTGTACTCTCAAGCGGATAAAATCTTCAAGCACTATTCACTGTTTTTACTAAACGCGCTCCAGGAAATTAATTCATGAAATGAGTTACTTTAAAAATATAACGAAGTTATATTACCATGTATTTAGGTCTAATAAGACTAGAAAATATTTCTCGAGGCAAATATCCAATTAAATAATTTATTAAGCCACAAATTAGGCTAAAAAAATAATAGTTTTTACGAGTCCTCACATTAGCTGTCACCTAACGCTCCGTATTCAAGCATGTCACGAGTTCAAGTCAGGAATTCAAGTCACGAGTAAACAGGTTAGGAACTTCGTCCTTTACCCAAGGTTGCCCAACTTACCCGATCGCTCTAAAACTGGTCTCAAGCAAGAGATCCAATGAGGGCTCAGTTCAGCCGTTACCGACCTACATTCACGCATACGCATGAGTAACCCAAGTTCCCACTTACCCAATATCTCGGATAAGAGTTCAAGGGCCCAGTTCAGCCACTGCAAGAAAATATGCAGCCGGTCTACAATCATGCACCTGTACATGTAAGTTTGCACACAAATCAAGTATTTCAAGTTCATGGAGGTCGAGTGCACATGAGGACATGCCTAGCCATGATCAAGTCACAAGTAAGATCAGCACGTCACTTTTTCAAGCATTTCAAGCATTTCAAGTCAAGATACGAGTCACATGTAAATCAAGTTGCTTGTACATACATGAATGAGATATCAAGTTTTTAGTCAAGTTAGGTCAAGTGCAATAAATTACACACTCGCCTATGAAATGACAAATCAAGTGTCTAGCAATTTCTAGCAACAATGAGCATGGAACATGTAGTTGGAACATTCACCAGTTCAAACAGAGCAACGTTAAACGTTCATCTCCAGGGTATTTGCGTATTCACCGTCAAAACCCTAAGAGCAACCAAGATAAAATATTATGGATCAACCATCCAAAACTTAGGTGAACGAAGTTCACATGTTAGACTCAACTAGGAGCCATACGCCTATCCAAGTTAGCCTCTCAAAACACAAAGTTCAAAGACAAATTTGAAAGTGCAAGTCAAGGAAAATCCAAGTAGCTACTAGGGCAAAGATTCAAGTATGGTTTTGGGAGTGAAAAGAGAGCATCTAGACCCAAAAAACATGAGTAACCAAAGAGTTCCACATTTCATTTCATTGCTGGAAATTTCCAGTAGCAAAACAGTGAAGAAATCAAGGCGGTTCACCCTTTTAAATTTATTGGATTCACTCCAATTCAACACACCTTTGTAGTTCAAGGTTTTAGCAAGTGATATGAGCAAGATTGAATCCAAAAAGGCCACCAAATAAGGGGACTTTAAGGCTAAAATAGCAGGGCAACTAAACTGCCATCCAACCATAATTTTTTTAGAAAAGAAACATGCACAACGTGAGGTTTTCACCTTCAAAAACTCATGGTTTTCGCTCAAGTTCACCACACAAAAGTCCTAACCAATGTTTGGAACAAGTTTTGGCTAAAACTCATCATGAAAAGGTTGGAGAAAAACAAGGTAAAAGGCTTCACTATCCATTTGGCCAACAAGCAACAATTGCAGCTAGCAAATTAGAGAAAATTACCAATGAAAACTCTCCATTTCATCTAGAATTCAACACATAAGTAAAGTTTAAAAGTTTACCAAGTATCTTCGGCAAATATACCACACAATCACTCCAGAATCAAAGGAAACAAAGATGATTCCCAATTGGACAGCATTTCCCCTTGTTTTCCTCTAAGTTTCCTGCCAAACTCAATGCTTATCTTCCTAGCAATCCAACTTCAATTGCAATCACAAGTTATAGGCTATAAAGGACACTTGTTTAAGGCCACAAAGCCACCCAAATTAGCCAATAATCTAGTTCAAAAGCAACCATAATAAAGCTGGAAAAATGTAACCCTAAGCTGAAATTTACTACTACAAGCTGAAATTTTCTATAATGAAGCCAAAATTGCATATAAAAGCTAGAAAATTCACATGGCAAAGCTACTAGATCAAACCCAAGCTCAAATCAACATATCAAAGCTGAAATTTCTTACTCAAAGTTGGAATTTTCCAATCACCACACAAACCATGAAATTTTCCATGAAATTTACCAAAATCAAGCCTTAAATCTACTCATATGCAAGTAATAAAAGAAAGGATGGTTTCTTGATATGGTTACCTTGAAACCCTATGAAGAAATGGAACTCAAGAGCTTCTTTCTCCCAATCTCTCCACTAAAGTCCTTAATCCTTCTTAAAAGTCACCTTTTATGGAGTAGTTTGCAAGCTTAAGATGAAAATTCAAGGATTCAAGCAAGAATGGAAGGTTGAAGATGAAGTTTTTCTCTCTTTTTCTTGCTCAAAGAGTCGACCAAAGGAGAAGGAAAGATGATAGGTTTTTGATCAAATTTTGTTTTTATTAAAGGCTAAGAATGGTCTTAGTCAAAGTCAAAGCTCCAAGGCTTTGGTAGCAAATGGCTTCCAAGGGTTTATCCTCATCCTATTGTCTTCCAAATGCTAAAATATCTAACCAACCTCTAATTATCCCTTAACACCTTATAAAATAATATTCCTTTGCACAAAACTCCTCCTAATCTTCAAAATTTATTGCACACACCTCACTCGTGGGTCGCACTTCCATAATGTACTATGAACTTAACATGTACTAACTTATAGAAGAAAAATGATTTAAAAACTTGACTCACTTATAAAAATATCTAGGAAATTAAGGCAATAAAGTAAAGTAAAGAAAATGTATTCAATGAAATAAAATAAAATATGAAATAATTTTCGGGTCCTCACACTGATGCTAATTGCTTGGAGCAACACATGCTACACACCGCATCTTTCTCTTGAATGCCCCTTCTTACGAAGCAAGACAAAATTTTGTTACTGATGAATTTTTTTTCCAAGTTGCACCTTGTGTTGGCATCTATTATTTGAGGCAAATTGATATATCATATTTTTTAATTATTTTTTAGTTTGCAAACAAAGCTGCATCTTCGACTCAATCGTGCCCGCGATTCTATAATCGAGGATTTTATCATTTGGAGTTCTTAGGTAACCCACCTACTCCATGGCTTTTACTTGTCAATGCCAATCTCTTCCTTTTTTTTTGCATGACATGAAAGGAAGATCCCTCGTTACAACATATATGGTGGATACTCAATTTCAAGAAGGTACAACCACCAACTCTCACGAGAGCCATACCATAGCTTGAGGAGTACAATGAAGAAAGTGAAACCACCAACTCCTATGAGAGCCATATCATGCTTGAGGAGTACAATGAAGGTGTAATCAAAAAGTTGCAGAAAGTGCAAGCACAAACTCCCACGAGAGCCTTATCATGGTTTGAGGAATACAATGAAGAAGGTGCTATCAAGAAGTTGAAGAAGGTGCAACCGCAAACTCCCATGATAGCTTTATTATGGTTTGAGGAGTACAATGAAGGAGGCACAAATAGCCACTTCAATGAGAGCTTACCAAAGATTGAGAAGTCCTTTCATTTAACTTCATTGACGATTTAATACCCCTCTCATTGTCTTCGATCACCCCATTGTAATTAGATTTTCCTTTTTCTCGCTTTTATTGTAGATTGATCCTAACAAAATGGTGAAGTTCATGGAAGTTACATCTCCAAACAAAAGGTACCTCCTTATCACCAATAGTCACGATAACTCTGCTGACAAAGGAACGAAATTATTGGTGCATCCCCATATACAAGGAACTTATTCCGGTGAATAGCTTTCTCATAAGTATCCCGAATTAAAGGATTAGTCATTAGAACTTTTTGAAGATGATGACACGAAAGTTCATTCGTTGAAGTCCCTTATGCGCAATAAGGAGGCAAGGACAACTTCTTTTCAAACCCTTGGTAGGCGAATCAAACTTAGAGGTGAATTTGGGTATATCGAGAATTATTGAGAGTAGTTGGACGATATCCTTGGAAGAAGCAAACAAGTGCTTTGTGAAAATTACTTGTTCAATGCCTTATATGCTTCACTTTTTACATACGACAAGAATCCTCATGTATTTAGGGCATGTTGTGAGGCATGGTGCTCAGACACAAATACCGTGCATACAACCGTTGGAGAATTGTTTCTCTCACTTTGAGATCTGTGCAAGTTAAGAGGACTCTCAATAATTGGAGGCATCTATGAAGAGGTGATTCCATGTGTAGATGAGTTAATTGGAGTTAATGAAAAGAAATCAAGGCATTTTCCGCAAAATTGTGAGTATTTGTTCACGGCCCTATATCGCCTTCAACATAGAGAGACCAAGAAATATGGAGTTTTTGCTAGCCAATGGATTAACTTCTGGTTTAAAGGTAAAATGAGGTATTCAAAACTAAAGCAGAGAAGGATAAAGAGGCATTTCATGCTGAAGCGACCTAAACCCCGATGGGGAGATTGGACAACCCCGC